ACACTGCTGTTGAGTCGATTCCGACCCAGTAGAACTGCCCCATAAGTTTTCCAAGGCTCTAAACCTTTACGGAAGCAGACTGCCACATCTTTCTCTTGCAGAGCAGCTGGTGGTTCGAACTGCCGACCTTTTAGTTAGCAGCCAAGCTGTTTAACCACTGCGCCACCAGGGTTCCTCTGAAATCTTCTAGCTGTATACATTTAAGCCATTTACTTTTACTATATTTTATGCTTTTGGACAAAGTTTGTTACTAAATAATAGATACGACTTTAAATAAGTTTACATCCAGTCTGTTTTCTGTCACATTTGTCAGCAGAGGTTGTTTCTGGAGCACAGGTGTCCACTTCTTAAGTCCGATCAGGAAGTGGTGGTATTATTAGGAGGGGCTGGCTTATCATTTAAGACCTCAGACTCTGCGGCCAGACTGCCTGAGTTTGAGTTCGCGCTTAGCCACTTAACACTGGTCTGACCTTGGGCAAGGCACTTAACCTCTCTGTTCCCCAGTTTCCTCATCTGTAAAAAGGGAGCACGACAGCACCTGCCTCATAAGGTTATTATAAGGTTATTCCAGTTAACAAATCTATGCCTGTGAAGTGCCTAGCACAGTGGCTAGGACATATTGAGTGTTCAATGAATTAGCTATTATGATTAATTATCATCATCATGGACCACAGGCAGCAGGACCATGAAGGGCAGAAACCATGATCTGGTTTCCAGGGAGAAAGGGTTGGCATAAACAGGCACAGCTCAGGCCTCCTAGCTACCAGCTGTGTAGGCAAGGCTGAAAACCGGAAGGGGAACAGGTCCTTAGTGAGGGGAACAAGGCAGAAACCCAGTTAAAGACTGAAACCACGCGAGACAGAGAATGTCAGACTCGGGAGATAAGTCCTGATACTGGATCCGGGGCCACACACCGTAATTCCATGACCCGGAAGATGGGCATGAAATTGCTAATACGTCTGTCAGATTAGCTTTGGACACTCAGCTGTGGGAAGATGCTGGGCTATTGTGAAGGGAGAGGAAATACGGCAGGGGCCACCATTCTGAAGGCAAGTCCATAAAGGTCATCTCAAAAATCTTTTTAAAAATTGTAACACCTTTGGAAAGAGCGGTTTACATGTACAAGTCATAGTATAACCGATTGCCGTCAAGTCGATTCGATTCCGACTCATGGCAACCCCATATGTGTCAGAATAGAACTGTGTTCCATAGGTTTCCATGGCTAATTTTTTTCAGATGCCTGTCATCAGGCCCTTCCCTGTTAAAAATTCCACTTCCACACAGAAATAAACCAATCTTGACTAGAACAAAAGCAAAAGCTGTAACCACATTACTTGAAATAAGTCTGTGCTTTTTCCTAGTAGTGAAATAAATAGCTGTACTCAACCTGCAGAATTTGTGCGAATCTTTAACAATTAAGCAATGCTAACCCTTGCTTTTATCACTGAATTTATAGAATATTATTTGTTGGAAAAAGTTGGATTCGCCTGATGACTTGATAATCTCAGCTCTACCACGAAAGTGCCATTTATAAATCATAAATTCCATTTAAAATAAGCTGCTTTTGCAATTAATACTAAATCTAACCTTGCTTTCTCTATAACTTCTAAAAAATTGATACCCAAACGTGCTGAGTTTAGCGGTTAACATCAGCCTAGGAGTTCATAGGTGTTATGCCGCCCTCTTGTGGTAAATGTGGAAAACTGCAGCCTGAAGATTTTTCTTCTTTCAGTTTCTTGTTACCTTATTTTGCTGGGGGTTTTTTTTTGTTTTTTTGTTTTTTTTGTACATATCCTTGTAAGCTGCCTTAAATACTTTCTGAAAGAAGGCAAAGTCTAAATAAATAAACTTATAAAATGGGCAGTGCTGCCTGAGGGTTAAGAACATGGGTTAGAGAACCCGTCTAACCCGTGGCCCTGGATTCCCTTCCGACTCATACAGGACAGAGTGGGACTTCCCAATAGTTTCCAAGGCTGTAATCTTTATGGAAGCAGACTGCAACATTTTTCTCCCGCAGAGCAGCTAGTGGGTTCAAACCACTGACCTTTCAGCTAACAGCCAGTGCTTAACCATTGTGCCACCAGGGCTCCTGACTTGGGTTCAAATCCCAGCTCTGCTACTTACTGGTTGTGAGAACATAGGTAGAGGAGAAGTTGGGCTGTGAAGCCTTCTCATCAAGGTCTCGGCAAATCCCGTAAGGCACTCTGAAGCTGGGATGGCCCTTCAGAGTTGTTTCCCATAGCTCTGACGGTGCTGGGTCTTTATACTTTCACAGTTACCAGACACCAGTGAGGGAGGGGACATGACCTTGAGCAAGGCAGTCTTCTTCAGCCAAGGGCAATTTCCAGAGAGGGTTGTCAGTTTTGAAAAGGGATCGTGGTGGTACATCACAGACCATTACAGAGGGCATGAGTTCCAAAAACGTTGCAGGCCCCACTGAAGTAGATATAATAGCTTGTCTTATGGTACAGAGCCTGCCTTACATTGCAGTTAACTTGTTGGTGGTAGTCACCATTGAGTCGATTTTGACTCACGGTGACCCCATGTTTGCAGAGTAGAACTGCTCTACAGGATTTTCAAGGCTGTGATCTTTCAGAAGCAGATCACCAGGCCTTTCTTCTGAGGCACCTCTGGATGAGTTCAAACAGCCAACCTTTCAGCTGGTAGTCAAGCACCTATGCCACCCTGAGCAGTACTAATTGTCCAGAGACTCCAGTACCAACTGCTATTTCTTCCACTTGGAAGGCCCTTTCATTCTTTTACCAGGATAGTTCTTTTATACTATCATCTTTAAAATGTTTGCACTTTTAAAGTTGGGGGTGGGGACCCCAACCTGCAAATAGCTTTTAGTATGATACAAAAACCTTGCACTTCACTCCCCTAACCTTTTTTTTCAATAACTGAAAACAAATCCAATTGTGTACTTAACCTCTCCAATCAGAAGTGAGTCCATGCCTAATACCCAAAAAAACCTATTTAAAATCCTCTTTCACCATTGCTACCCTCTGAATTATCCACCATGTAAATGCATGGTTTTCCTCCAGCCGATAATTGTTCAGATTTCATAATTAAAGCACAAATATATCCTCACCGTAAAAACAAGACCTTTTGATACTCCCACCCTATAATAGTATCATGCCACCAAAAGTAACCGCTGTTTTCAACTTGGTGTCCCCGCCAGATTCTGATACACTGCTAGGAGGTCGTGTCTCCTCTCCTTGCCTTGAAAACCACTGCTATCATCTGCCTAGATCCACCAATCAAATTTTGAACATTAACCTTCTGAAGTCTGTATTATAAAACCAATTGTTTTTACTTTCCAAATATAAAATAGTATTAGAATGCTTTGTCAAATGCCCTTGCTCAAATGCCTTAATTAGCTTATAGGGATTAACTAGGACATCTGAGGAAAACGGAGAACAGGGGAGGAACTCTTCTAGGCAAGTGGGAGAATTAATGTTTTAGTCAGGAAAAATAAGCTGTCATGTTTATAACTTCCAAGAAGAGAAACGGTTTCAGCATTTGCCGTACGTTTAGACAACTTTAAAGAGTAATCAAATATAAATTTTATAAATGTCGTTTTTTGCTGCTGTGGAGTCAGCTCTGACTCATGGTGACCTTATGTATGACAGAACAAAACCCTGCTTCGTCTTGCACCAAATTTTTTAAATAGCGTTTAGGTACGCAGTTTGTGATGGGGGCTTAAACTGAATCCCCATCCCTCAGGAACTCTAAAGTAAGAACCACAGTCATCAGAGGCCCAAGCTTAGGCCATCTGGAGGTTTCTTGAAGGGAATTTTCAGGCATACGGTCACGTCTCCCAGGACAGCAGGAGTCATACTTCTAGAGGTGAGCCGACGGTCAACTCAGTCTCAACACATAATGGTGCTGAAATGTGCTTTTGAGAGGCAAGAAATTTATTCTGAAGTACAAGAGTCCCCCCAAAACATCAACTTGTGGTTTGTCAAGAAATATACTTTGCTCAGCACAGAATGGTATCTTCCAAAGGTTTCTACTGGGAGGAGTGGGGCAGGTTTGGTTACACATTTTTGAAATGGAATCTAAAAAGAAACCTGAAAATGCCAGACTACCCTGGAGGTGAGACCCCTAAACAACAGTTGTTTCAGGAGAAAAAAAATTCTTACAAGGACAATGAGAGATGAGGAAAGACAAGATGAGGGGAATGTATACGAGGGGCCGGAACAACAGCCAGAACAAATAAAGTATTGCTAGTAGGATAAGAGGTACCAGAAAACAACCACAGTAAGGAAAAGAGGTAGTCGTCCAAACTACAATACTGTATTGGTTAGATCATTATGAATGCTTCGGGCTGCAAGCAACAGAAAATCCACAAGGTATGTTTCTCATATAAGTCTGGAGACAGCTTTTGCTGGCATTGCTTCAGTGGTTCAGCAGGGTCAGGGTTCACAGCTCTGTGTGATTCAAAGCCCTTTTCCTCATGGTCACAAGATGGCTGCTGCATGCCCACCCCTAACTACAAGGTGACCAGGGAGAGAGGATGGAAATGCAGCTGGGGCCAGGCAACCAACCCTCTGCCACAGCAACAGGAAGTCTGTGGGCAACCTGGGTTTTTATGAAAGGGCGGAGACTGGCAAAATGGGTGGGTGCTGAGTCCATTAAAATGGTTACTTAACCTCCCAGACCAGTGCAGAGGCTAATGGTTCTAGGGGAACATGTAAATTTCCATATCACATTAGAAGTTGAATGAGGGAAAGAGAATATCTATTCTGAATTTATATGTTTCACGTGTATTACCCAAGAAACTACCTATAGAACTCTCAAAAAGTTCAGACTTTATGAATGAAATAGTACAGAGAAAACACAAATTTCAATTGCTACAAAACACAGCCAAGTTCAAAAGGCACATTTATTTTACACTCCACCATTATTTTACAAAAATAATGATAGGCATATATATTTACATAACAAGGGTAGGCAAAATTGGTCAAGAAAAAGATTCTTTAAATACTTCTAGCATTTAGCAGACAAAATCAGTTTCTACAAGTAAAAACCTCTATCATCTCAGGAAGAACTTTTAGAAGGCTCAACCAATATGATTCAAATTATGACTGTTTTAATAAAGAAATTATAGTTTTGTCTTCTTTGAAAATCTCCAAGTTGCTAGAAGCCAAATAAACCAGATCACCACCAATTTTTAAAAGATGCAAATCTTCTTAAATTAGGAAGTCACAATTGCTTTAAGAAATTGTTAAAGAATCTAAACATACCATCATTTCTGAGCAGTACAAGACAGACTTAGTTTTCATTAATTCCTTAATCCATTAAAATGGTTTCTGATGCCCTACTGTTCTCTCATGAGAAACATTAAGTCATTTAATACTTAGCTCTTAGGAAAATCATTCCATGTGTATATTGAGCTTTCAATAATATTAACATAGATTTTTTAAAAATCCATACACCTAACAACCATAAGTAGACAGGGATCTTCCAAAAACAGAGACAAGTATTCTTGTAAGAGTCAAGAGTCTTCAGACTCCTGCTCTAATGTATCCCAGTGTACAGACTTCATTTAACTGTTCACAGAGGAAAAGATCCTTTAAATGCAGCAAAAAAACATGCCAGTATGTCTATAATCTCTCCTTGTAAGTGTACACACGGCTGTCATTGTTGATATCTTGGTCAACACCTTCTGTGTTTATCAGTTCATCCTTTCTTTCACTGTCCTGACTACGAAGTGTGATGTCCAAACTGAAATAAAGCAAACGTCAAACACATATATTAATCAAATATAAAAAATACATCATGGCAAGACAAACATCAGATGACCCTTTGAGGTTTAATTCAACAACAGTTATATGAGAGTGGGCTGTGTGCTCAGAGCTGAGGACAAAAAAGTGAGCAAGACAATCTCAGCCCCATAGACGGAGCTCCCAGCTGCCTGTAACTTGAGTCCCTACAGCACAATTGTTAAACTGCTCAGCTGCTAACTGAAAGGCTGACAGTTCAAAGCCACCCAGTGGCTCTGTGGGAGAAAGACCCAGCGATCTGGTTCCATGATGATTACAGCCTAGAAGACCCTGTGGGGCAGCTCTACTCTGTCACATGGGGTTGCCATGAGTCAGAATCAACTCAATGGCACCCAGTAACAACGTGTCCAGCCCTAAGCTAAAGGCTATGAAGTATACAAAGAGAAAAATTCTTTCTCTAAAATGCTCATAGTAGGTTGGAGAGAAAATGCTGAGTCATTTATCAAACAGTGAACAGTATAAGACAACACACTAATTCCTCATTTAACCATTATCACTGGGTTATCCAGGTGTTTCCACCTAAGTAACTGTCTTAGATAACTGAAGGCTTCCAAGCATCCTGGAATTTTAATAAGTCAAACTCTAGTCTCTGCTTAGATGCCGGATTAGGGGCAGATTACTTAGGCAGGATGAGGTTCATTTTCCTCAGGTTTAAAACAGGTAATATTCACCTAGTTTTTTTAGGATATCGCTGTGAAGATTAAATGAGATACGTAAAAACTACTTTGCAAGTTATAAATTTCTATACAAGTTTAAAGTTCTGTTTTAGACACGTTTGCAATTTTATGGTAATAGTTCTAAACTACACAGTTTTTTGCCTTCTTAATAGAATGAAAAGATTAATTTTCTAAGTCAACATGATAAATACCAAGTATTGTACTCTATATAGCGTATGTACACACACACACACACTATTAACCTCAGGGAATACTAATGTGAGTAAAATGCATTCCCACACTCTATTATGCTCTGAGTCACTACCTGCATTTCAGTTTTTCTGCTGATGTCTCTGTCACTCCTCAGTGCTGTCTACTTGCCTTTAGACACTGTCCTTCTTCCTTAGTGGCCATTCTTCCATACTCCTCTCTTTCTCACGGCTTATTTTTACGCACTACCTCAGCTATATTTTAAGATGGGAAAAAAACAAACCTGTTGCCATCAAGTCCATTCCGACTCACAGCAAACCTATAAGACAGAGTAGAGCTGCCCCATAGAGTTTCCAAGGAGCGCCTGGTGGATTCGAACTGCTAACCTTTTGGTTAGCAGCCATAGCACTTAACCACTGACACCACCAGGGTTTCCAAAGATGGGAAACTACACCCCATATTGGAATTATGTCTAAATTAAACAAAAGAGACCACAAGTAAGGCACAATCTCAATGATCAAGTGTTTGAAACACAATGTGCATCCTTTTAAGCATCTAATAAGCATTGTCATTAAAGATAATTATGACCTCATTTGCTTTTTTAAAAGCACAGTTAACACTCTATCTAACCAAATAATCCGAAATCTTTATGTTCGACTGAGAAAAATATTGGAGTATTCACATTTAACTGTGGCTAGGTTGAATCTGTAACACCATTCTTTCCCGGTCCTCTCAAAATTTTAGACACCCTGTTCATATTGCAGGCAAAAACATAAGGTAAGCACCTGTCTAAGATAAACCACCAGAAACTTATGCACAAGTGTTTTTCATTTCAAGTATTTTACTTCAAAAGACCTCCTAATAGGCTAAAAGCTGATGAGCATGTAGAAAGGTATCAGAAACATTAGCAGCATCAACAATTGGATAGCCCACTCTGCATAATTACTTCAAGAGAACTTGAAGTCAAAGATGCATTACTAACAGTATGCTTGAAAATAACTGAAAAATTAATTTTACATTATAGCTCACCCTTGAAGTTTCTGGACTAGAAAATGGAGAAGACTCCCAAGACCTATTTTCTTTCTCAAAGGAATCATCTTCTTGGAATGCAAATTTCTGTTTAAGTGCGTGAGATATTAAAGACACTGGGTCCCAATGTGAATTTTGTCTTTTCCACTTTTGAATGGGTCTACCTCCAGGTGACCTGTTTTTTAAAAAAATTGAATAAATTAAAACTTTGATATAGCTTAAGCTCCTTGTTAAAAAATACAGCAGGAATATAAGCCTAATATTTTACAATCTGATTAGTTTGCAAGAGGTTGGCATTTTTCGCCATGGAATTAGGAACCTAGAGGGCACAATGAATTAGGAATCAGAAAACCAAGAAACCATGTGAGTGAGGCTCTCCCATAACCTTGTTATGACCTGGGATTTATCAAATATCACTGTGCTGTTGTTGTTGTTGTTAGGTGCCATTGCGTTGGTTCCGACTCATAGCGACCCTATGTACAACAGAACAAAACACTGCCCGGTCCTGCACCATCCTCGCAACGTTATTATGCTTGAGCCCATTGTTGCAGCAACAATTGTGTCAATCCATCTGGTTGAGGATCTTCCTCTTTTTCGCTGACCCTCTACTTTACCAAGTACGATGTCCTTCTCCAGGGACTCATCCCTCCTGTGCTAAAGATCTTAATATCTAATTTTCCAGGAGGGAGGAAAATTTATAAAAATATTTAAGAACTTTTAAAAGGGCTATAGAATTCATGGGAAGAAAGTCATCAAGATAATTGTTCATTTGTTCGGTCATTCATTCACTCGACCCTCATTGAACACCTACTAATATACCAGGCTCCATTTTCCCCTTTGGGGATCTAACAGTATCCCATTCCCATGGAACATTCTGGTGGCAGGATATTATCAATAAGCAAGTAAGCGATAATTTTGGATAGTGACAAGTGCTGAGAATAAAATAAAAGAGGAATATGACAGTCATTAGCGATGAAAACACTTTAGATGAGATGATCAGAAAAAGCCTCTTTAATGAGGTGACATCTAAGTGAAACTTGAATGGCAGGAAGGCGTCGGTTTTAGTGTAAACATCTTGTGGATGCACCAGAAAGGAGCTTGGTACGTGTGAGGAAAGAAAAAAGAGAAACAAATACAGCTGGAGTGCAGTGAGCAAAATGGGAATCGGGATGATAAGAGGTCGGAAAGAGAAGCAAGGACTGGAGTGCAGAGAGATTTACCGGCTACTGTCTGGATTTTATTTTAAAAAACAAAACAAAACCCGTTGCTGTCGGGTCGATTTCGGATTTTATTCTAAGCAAAATGAAAAACCAGTGAGGGTGGTAAGCAGGGGAGTGGCATGATTTGACTTCCATCTTTAAAGGATCACTCCAGTTACCATATGAAGGATAGATAAGGAGGCAAAAATAACAAGAGACTAGTTAGGAGGCTAATACAGAAGTCTGAACTAGATAAGATGGTGGATTAGACCTAGGGGTAGCAGTGGAGAAGGACTTGGGGAAGGACAGGTTTTCAAACATGAAGGAAGGGGTCAGGTAGGACAAAGAGTTCTGTTCTGGAAATATGAAACATAAGATGACAAGTAGGTATTTGAATACATGCCCTTGGGGCTAAGAGGAGGTCAGGGCTAGAAAAATAAATGTGAGAGTCATTAGCATATAGCTGGTATTTAAAGCCATAAGACTAGATGAGAACACCAAAGGAAATAATGTGGATGGAGAAGAGAAGAAGGCCGAGGGCTGAGCCTAGAGCACTCCAACATTTAGGGGCCAGGCCCAGGAAAAAGATATAGCAGAGAAAGAAGGAGTGGCCAATGAGGTAAGAGGAAAACCAAGAGTGTGGTTTCCTAGAAGTGAAAAAAGATTCCAAGGAGGAGAGAGTCATGAACTATACCAAATGCCTCTAAGGTTAAGTAAGATGAGAAATGAGAACTGACCATTGAACTACACGGATGTTACTGGTGACCTTGAGAAGAGTAGTTTTCGATGGAGTGGTGGAGACAGAAGTCAAATTACAGTGGTAGAAGAGGGCAGTGAGAAATGTAAACAAACTACAGGTGACTTTGAGAACTGATATCAGAAAGAACAGAGAAGCAGAACAGTAGCTGAGCGTATACACGTTTTGAAGATGGGAAATACTTAGGTGTGAAGAGAACAATAAAGTAAAGTAAGATTGATAATGCAGGAGAGAAGGGATAATTTTAAGTAAAATCCTTGAGAAAAGAGGAACATTGAGAAGACAGCAAGGAGGGAGCCTGGACATGAACAGGGACAACTCATCCCCAGTAACAAGACAGAAGTCAGACAGCACGAGTAGTAAAGTTATATGTGTAAAGATGTGGGCATTCTCATCTGATTTCTCAATGACATATAAAACAAGGTGAGTTGTTGGGGCACATGAGAATAGGGGGGTGGAGGGTATAGAGTCTACCTGGGCTTTTAGTTGTTTCTCCAGCCATGGTAACAATCACAGTCACCATTTTACACTGACAGGGCCCAATGCTACCAGTACAAGATTTAGTTGGACCAAGTGTACAAATTTTAAATGATGATTTAACTAACGATTGTGATCTAACTATATCAGGAAAATGTAGCAAGAAGTGTATGTCTGCATATGTGTGTTGAGGGGTGGAGTGACTAAGAGAATGTATTCCTAATCTAAAATCAGAAGTAAATATAATTAATATATTAAGAAATAGCAAAAGGCATCAATTGGTCCCAACCCACTTGGAGCAAAGAAGAATGAAGAACACCAAAGACACAAGGAAAACATTAGCCCAAGAGACAAAAGGTCCACATAAACCAGAGACTACATCAGCTTGAAACCAGAAGAACTAGATGGGGCCCAGCTACCACCAATGACCGCCCTGACAGAGCAGGAGAAAATTGCATAGCAGAACTCAAATTCACTTACAAAGACGAGACTTAAGGGTCTGACAAACTTAAGGAACCCCAGAAAGTATGGCCCTCAAACGTTCTGTTAACCCAGAACTAAAATCATTACCAAAGTCCACTCTTCAGACAAAGATTGGACTGAACTATAAAACAAAAAATAACACTCGTGAGGAGTGTGCTTCTTAGTTCAATCAGATACATGAGACCAAATGGTTGGCTCCTGTCCAGAGGCAGGATGAGAAGGCAGGAAGGGACAGGTACTGGTTGAATGGGCACAAGAAACCTGGGATGGAAAGGGGAAGTATGCTATCGCATTGAAGGCATTGCAACTAATGTCACATAACCATACGTGTATAAATTTTTGTATGAGAAATTAACTTGAGCTATAAACTTTCACCTAAAGCACAATAAAAAAAAGAAATAGCAAAAGACCAAAGGCAGTAGCCAAATTGCTGGGGATTCTGAATCACCCTCTTTGAAGAATATGCTTCTTTTCCTCCCCACCTCCTGAGAATCACTAACGGAGAATACTGAATATAACTGAGAAACAAAAGACTACTTCCTTAATAAACCAGGCTGTTAACTAGATTTCTCCTGATGGTGTGAGCGCACCCATTGCTGGCAGTGGAGGGCTCGCCATGGAAAAGCAGCTTATTTAAGATGTTCGTGAGAAGTCTGAAATTATGATATCTCTTCTCACAAGAAGGGGGAAGGGTGTGTGCAGTGTGTTATGTTGGAAAAGAAGCCACGGAGATAAGTTGTACCACTCCTGCAGCCCACGGGCTGCTTGTGTTTACCCCTTGGTTCAAGTTCTGCCTTTTGGAGAAATACTGAATGAATTTTTCACTTTTTGTGTGACTCCTTCTAGCACTGGAACTTGTTTATTGAATCTTTCGGTTAAAACACCCCCTAGTCCATTCATTCTGCATTTGTTCAATAAATATTTAATTGAACTCTTAAAAAGAAAAAAAAGAAATAGCAAAAGAAGTATATTTTTCAAAAATAGGGAGATGAGACAGTCAAAAAGAAGTTAAAAGTGATTATCTCTGGGAGGTGCATTCAGGGGTGAAAAAGAAAACCACAAAAGACTTGTATTACTATATGAGTTTTTTAAAAGATGTACATTATTTTGACAAGCACAATAACTTTTTTAAAACATCATTGATAAAATTTCAGTTCATTTCTCAAATTATGACAACATACCGTTCAATAGCACGAAGCTTAACTTGATTCATATCCTTTAGAACATCCAACATATTTGGAACATCTTTATTTCTCTGGTTTTTTGCATGATGGCTATAATTGGTTTTACTAGCACCCAGGTGCTGTTTCTTCATTTCAGTTGCTGACCTGTCTGAGTCACAAACATTAGATCCTGGTTGTACAGTAGGAGGAGAACACGGAGCCTGGAGAGAAGGCTGAAGAGGAAGCGGTGGTGGGGGAGGAGAGGGACGCACAACACTTGAAAACTGATCAGCTTCAACCCTCAGCTGAGCAGTCTCTGGTGACAGCCCTTGGCCCAAACCACTAGGCCCATCATTGAAGTCAAAGGGACCTAAAAACAAAGTAGTTTGTTGAAAATCGTGCAAAATTCTCTCCAACATAGCACATACGCAGGGCTAATTAGAACCAAAACAGGAACAACTTCTGTGGTAGTACTAATATGATATGGTCGCCATAGATGAGAAGCAAATTCCCATCTGCTTAGTAATTTCTGTAAAAGTCAAGCCAAATAATAAATTTGTTTTTAATCCAATTAAGGAATTCTCAGGTTAGCCCTTAAAAGGGAGGGGAGGGCATTTTAAAGAGAAAGTACTTTATCAGCAATACATACAATCTGAATTTCACCCTCCATTTAAAAAAAGCTAAAATATGTTCAAGAACTTGTAGTTAGAAACACTCAAGCTGGTATATATACTCAATGATGACATTGTAGAAACACCCAAGCATATATTTTCTAGGCAAGGGCTGAGTACTTAACTTTTCACAATAGATTTGCTCCTAAAGGGCTGTTTGTAAGTAAGATTGCTAAGAAAAAGTTACGTGAGTGTCTATGTGTATATATATGTTGTTGCTGTTGTATGCCATCAAGTCAATTCCGACTCATAGCGACCCCATAAGACAGAGTAGAACTGCCCCAAAGGGTTTCCTAGGCTGTAATCTTTATGGGAGCAAATCGCTAGGTCTTTTCTCCCATGGAGCCGCTGGTGGGTTCGAACCACAGACCCTTTGGTTAGCAGCCAAGTGCTTAACCATTGCGCCCCCAGTACTCTTTGTGTGTGTGTATTATTTTTTCTTATTATATTAATATGTTACCAGTTGCCATTGAGTCAATTCCGACTCATGGCAACCCCATGCGTGTCGGATTAGCACTGTGGACACAAACCTCTAACGTTTCAGTTAACAGCTGAGCTCGTTAACCATTTGCATCACTCAGGGACTCATTAATGTTATATATTATATA